CTATCAATTTCAGTTTTTTCATTACAAAAATGCCATTGAAGGCTTACCAAGGCGCAAAAAGGAAATCAAGGGAAATTTCATATTCCACGCACGAAACGTCATGGAAAGAGGATTTTGGAAGTAACCGAGTGGAAAGATATTTCAATTTCCATGTTGACGAGTTGGAGAATTGTTTATCCATGGAAGTACACTTGTTTTCACGATGGAAAGTTTACTGCAAGACCCATTCCATTGATCTTGCCATAATTCAGTGAGTATTTTTTTATTGTACGGTTTCATATCTATATGGACAACATATTTTTCTGTACTATTTAAAGACCTGATAGTGGCTTCTTTTGCTAAACTGTCAGCCTTTTCATTTCCTTTTATACCTACGAGAGAAGGAACCCATATGAATTTTATGACTACTCCTTTTCCGTAAAGTATATTGATCAGTTCTTTTATATGACGGATGATGGGATGGTTGGAGTATAATTGGTTGAATGCTATGAGGGCACTTAAAGAATCTGACACAATTAAAAATGTCATGGAGTTGTTCTTCTCTATGTTTTGCAGTGCTTTCCATATGGCGTGAAGTTCCCCAGTGAACACTGAGCTTTCTAGGGGGAGTTTGGATGATAAACTAGATTGAAGACTGGTAAAAGCGACTCCTACGCCGTCTTCAGATTTGGATGCGTCCGTGTAGACTGTGTGAAACTCCTTGTATTTCGTATCGAATTACATTTGATGACTTCGTAGTTGATGTCTCTCTTTTCAAGCTGGTTGAGGTTTGTATCAATGAAGATTTTTGGGATAGTCCATGGGATGGGGTTAGGAATATTCGGGTCGAAGAATGTTTTTGGTTGTTTTAGGTTCAAATTATGTAGATAATGATTTTGTCTCTCGTAAAAAGGAAGGTCAGCTCTTTTATTCTTAGCATATGTTGACGTAAATCTATGGGCAATCACATTACGGTATACTGGGTTTCCAGGGTTTGCTGTAATGGAAGCAGCATAGGTGAGGATTAAAAACTGCTTTCGAGTTGCTGAAGATGGTTCGCCTGATTCACATTGTAAGCTTTCGGTTGGACTTGTGCAGAATGCCCCAAGCACATTTCTGATAGCGTTATTGTGAATAGTATCCAGTTGTTTCAGAACCGATTTTTTCGCCGAATTATATACTATTGATGCATAGTCTAACTTTGATCTGATTAGGGATCTAGATTGTCACCAACATATTTCTGTCTGCACCCAAATTTTTGAAACGATGGTTTCCATCAGGTTCAAACCATTCTGGCAGGAAAAATTTCTCAAATTCACAGAAATCAATTACAGTGAGTTACAATCTGAACTAATTTGAAGAACAAGTATTTGAATTTATGTAGGGTTTTTCATTAAGCACTTCCTATCTTTAAATTCAAATAAAACAAAGAGCGTGTGAGTTATCATCAAAATTAATTATTTTTTTCATGACATATTGATGCCATCATTTGAATATCCGCCACGGCTTCTCTGAGTGGGGCGCATCACCAACGTCAAATCTCCGTGGCGCATCAAATGTTAAAGGTAGGTGACTTGAGGTATAAATTGGTTCTGGCCAGGCGGCTCTAAAAAGTTTTTGTACTTCTAGTTCTAAAATAAGGCACACAAAAATTTCATAGCATCCATATTGTTGTGCAGTAATTTGTGCAGAAAAATTATTCCAGCAAGTTTTCTGCGTGATTCAAGACTCTCAATATTGAATGTTATTGTAAGAGATTTATATGGAATACCTCTATCAGGATAGATACCATAACATTTGAAGTAAATAAACTTTAGGAAACGACGATGAACTATTTCAATTAATGTATCATAGCAATTGTAGAATGGAGACCATAGAACAGACCCATATTCTTATTTTTGACCTTAAGTAGGCTACATAAAGTGTAAATAAAGCAGATCTGTTTATAAAAAACATCTACAATTGTGAACTGTAAGGCTATTTACTCTCATTGCTTCACTTACTTTCGATATAACATGGTTGGAAAAAGACAATTTTTGATCAAAATATACACCAAGATCTTTAATTGAGTTACTCCGTGACAGTGAAATGGTATCTACTCGATGACTGACATTTTCCTACTATAAAACACTACTATACATTTGGATGCATTGAGATATAGTTTGTTAACTTTACACTAAGTCTGTATATTTTCTAACTGTCGTTGCAATATATTACAGTGTTCGATAGTTTCGACAGGTGAATATACTTTCAAATAATCTGCAAAAAATAACTTATTACAATCGGCATAATTACTGAGGTCATTAATAAATAATAAGAACAGAAGTGGTCTGAGATTCGACCCCTGAGGTACTCTAGTTGAAGGATTCTAATAAAAAAATCATAGGCGTTATAAGATACAAACTGTTCGCGTTGAAGGATTTAATGAAAACCCAGAACCCATTCGGCGAACACACGTCGTTGTATATGGTCGTTCACCTTCAATTCCCAGGTCAGTTTTGCAGTGGGCTCACAATTATCCCGTTGTATTTCTTGCTTGCTGCAAGAACCCACTAGAGGCAGGTTTAATTGGAGATTTCCAACGAATAGTAGTTGAGCTCTTAGAGTACTCAGCTTTGCATTCATGGTTCATGGGTTTCTGAGAGGATGAAATAATCTGCGGGTGCATCCTGTTTTTCCTTCTGATGGACTCTGCTTCTTCTATATGATGTAGTTTAAGATGGCATGTGATTGGGAAACGGACTTGGAAATTAGTAGTAGGAATTTGTACTCCTAGTGAAATCAGCTCTTCTAATTCTACACAGCGGTCTGAATCAATATCTTTCAGAGTGTGAGACCTGGTAATCATTGAAGACATCTTCCTCACAGAGTATGGTGAACCCCACAAGTCCAGCTCAGAAATAAGTAGGGTGAAGGGAACTAAAATCCCCAAAAGCCTTTGCGAAACATGCCACCGTGGACCAGCCTACCCAAGCTGAGGTGTAAGGAATCGTGTCGACAGCTGAATGGTCGCAGGGTGATATGCGGTTACGAACGATCCTCTTGGGGAACCGGGCGAAACCTCATTGTGATTAGCCTTTCTCTGGTAATGCGGGGCTCTGCCAGAAGTGACCAACCCTTCCGTTGGTCACTTCTAGCACATACACAACAAAAATCAATCCCGAGGCTGGACAGAAGTGCTCACCTCAATCTATGACGGTGGCTGGGAATAGCCTCGGCGCATTTGCGGCGCCGAGGCCAAAAGGAGAAAGAGAGTGGAAGAGGCAGGAGTGGCAGCCACTATAAGTGCACCCTCCTCCTCCCCCACTTTACCTCCAACAGCGAAGGCACTGCTGCACCTTCCAAAACCTTCACGGAGGTCGCCGTGAGATACCTCAAGGTTGCCAAAGAGAGTGTGTGTTCGTCGAGTCTTGGCCTACACCTGCTGATATATAGGAGATGTTTCCTAGTGACCTGTCCACCTTTCTGGAAATGGCAGGATGGACGATGACCTATTAGGACAACTCTTCGGGAGAATGTACAATGGTAGCAAAAGTCATGTTCTTCGATCAGGTTTCCTGTATTATTGAAGAAAACGGATAACAGCGTTATTTTTCACGGAATGGTTGAGGCTTTCGCGGCCAAGGTTTTCAGTGTCCCTATTTTTCGAGTTTGAAGGCTGTCCTTTCCGAAAATCGAAGGCAGTCAAACTCGAAAAATACTGACAGGGTTATTTTCACCACAAAAGTGTTCCCGATAGTTTTTTAAATACACTGATCCGTCAATAACCCTCAATGCATTCAAAATTGTAAATTCCAAAAAAATTATTTCCATCTCTTCATTCATATAGCAAATTTTATATTTAAATGAGTATGAAACCACTGCACAGAAGAATATTGTGAAATTCTGAGATATTCAAATACAATTTTAAGCTATTGCATGTACTGATATGTGATGTAGAAAGGAGCCAGGCGGAATTTCCGGAGTAAATGAAATTGAAAAATATATGAATGTGAATGAGATCCTGAAAAGTTCGTTAATACATATTGGAATGTGATTTCGTGTGAGAAGAGATATAATTACAATGAACGGATGAAACAAGAAATATATTTTGTACGAAACACGATTCATGTAGACGATATTCGAATACTCATTTTTACTATGTTTTGATCCTCCCACAGAGTCAGTGATTGGTGATAGTATGAATTTTTGAGTGGAGAGAAAAGAAATGAAAAAAGAGGAAACTTAACGTAATTTCAGTAACCTGCGTGTATATCTTGAAATGGTAAATAATACTTAATGTCCTAATTATTTCACCAACCAGTATGATCGAAATAAATAAATCACCTGTCTGGTACTTATACTTTATGAATATTTTGGAAATTGAAATGTACACAGCATACGCTGTGTAGATTGAGCTATTTGGATACTACTTTTCCCGGTCGTTGGATTGGCCGTCGAGGTTCTACAGAATGGCCAGCCCGCTCGCCAGATTTGACACTTCGGAACTTTTTTTATGGGGCTATTTGAAGCAAAAGGTGTACGAAACTGAACCTGCTTCAATATTGGATATACGGCAGAGAATAATAAATATTTGTAGAGATATTGACGTTACTGTGTTCGAAAATGTTCGGTGTGAAATATCGGATAGGCTGTTCATATGTCAAGAAGTTCAAGGCAACCATTTCGAGCTTATTATCTTCTATTATGTTGTTAAATGGCAATTACTAAAAGTTCCGTTATTTTGTGGTAGTTGAAGATATTGACATTATATTCTAGGGTTGTGAAGCATTTATCAGGAGTTTCAAAAAGATGTGTCAGAAGATCCCCCTTTCTATTTGATTTTCTTTTCCCAGATGGCGCCCAGTCGCCATCTTGAAAGTTTCATATGTCAATTTCACTTCAGAATGAAGTATTCATGCATTAATTTTATTATTCCAAATTTCAATTTTTTGAGTTGACCCGTTCAAACAATAACAATTTAATTTTTTTTTTAAATCCATACTTTTCACCACCACCCTATGCATTTTTTCGATACTAACCTTCTGTCGACACGACTCTGGACCTCACTAAATCTGCTTTATTCGCCACAAGAATCACAGCCTTGGTACTGATTGTGTCTAGCGTCCATAAATTCTGAAGGATCTGCTCCGCAGCTTCCATGCTGGACCGATCTGCACTGCTGTAAACGACGCAATAAGCGTGGAGATCCGTGTATTTTCTGATGCAACTGTCCGGCTGGAAATGAGAAACCCAGTTGTTTTTGAATAACGCAACAAGATAGTCGAATTGTTCGAGAAAACTGTAGAGGGTGAGGTGTATGAGAGAAAGGTTGAATTTTGATTAAATTGATTCAAAATATGTAAGGTGTTACGAAACGATTTGAGCAACTTTGAAGTTTTTCAAATTATATTTTTGGAAAATACAGTTCGTTAACTTTAAGTCTGAAAAATGGTTAGATTAACGGAATTGCATAAAATAACAGGTAAACAAATGATTGGTTACGGAGATAAAACTCGAACACAACAGGAAGTAACTCGCCTATTTCATGAAAATTTATTAATTTACCGCACATATCTCAAGGAACAATAAGTAAAATAGGGAAGTAGTTTCGCGAGCTTGGTCATGTGGAGCAGATCAAAAAAGCAGCTGCCAATGAAATGCGTGATGAACTCAAATTAGATGTGATGTTTGAGTTTGAGGAAAACCCACATACATCGAGTAGACATGCATTCACTAGATTCAATGTTAGCCATACATGGATAGTAAACATACCTATTAAAAGGAAATATAATGCATACCTTTGAAATGATACCTACTCAGGAGCTCATAGAAGACGATTCTGATAGAAGAACTAATTTTTGTGAGCAAATGATGAACATGTTAGATAACAATATCATCCAATTAGAAGACGTTATGTTTTCTGATGAGTATACTTCGTGTCTTAACGGTCATGCTAATCAACAAAATTGCCGCTACTGGTCAACGGAAAATCGTTACTGGATGAGAGAAGAACACACGCAATACCTTCAAAAGGTTAATGTTTGGGCAGAGATTGTAAGAAACCATATCATCGATTCTTTTTTCATTGAGGACAACTTGAATGTCAATAATTATTTGGAACTACTTTAAAATGATGTCATTACAAGTTCAGCAAATTTATATCCTGATCCAGGAAACCCTCAAGTTCCAGTGAATACGATATGGTTTCAGTAGAATGGAGCACCACCACATTACCAAGTTAATGTCCGGCAATACCTTGATACAACATTTTCCAATCGGTGGATACGGAGGCGAGGGCGGAGGCCAGCGCGATCACCTGATCTTTCATCATTAGATTTCCTTTTATGGGAATATGTGAGAGCATTGTGTACAAAAGTAAACCTTTAGATTTGAATTACTTGAAAGAACGCATAAAGCTTGCGATTAGGTCGGTCACGCTTGATATGTTAAATAATGTTAGAAGACAGTTTTATTTGAAATTAGTTTAATGCCAAGACGTTCGCGGTGATCATTTTGAATATCCACTCCGTGAACATCCATAGTTCTTTTTCGTATTCTATATTTCATTACGTTCTGTATTACATTTCAGTTTTTGAATGTATTTTATAGAATTTCGGTAACCACATGATTTTAATTCATTTTATCTCAATTGTTTCAATAATTGAAGCGATAAAATTTTTGAATGGAGAATAAAGAGCCCTTTCAAACGATATATCACAAACCTATACTTCCTACTTAAAAAATTGGGGGTTGTACCTGTCACTCGGAGGGGTTTGAAGGTAGGGGTGGTATTTTTACGATGAAGAATGTCAAATTATAATTTACATTCGTCGTGTTACGGATTTTTTTTAAATATATACAGTAACCGAAATAATGAATTTATTCCATTTGGCTTTTACACACTGTATATTATTACTTTCAGCATTGTTTTTTCTGCAAATCTGGTACATTTTCAGGTGGCTCAGTAATGTAATATAAATGTGAAGAGAAATGAGGATATTCTCTTGATTCTCATATTTTTTTCCTGGTAATGAAATTCCCAAAAACATATTCCTTTGTCATTTCGCTTGTCGTTGGCTGATTGCATCTACTTTCTTTTCGCCGTACTCCATTCTGCATGTACAACGTAATGAAAACAATGGATGTCAAAGAAGCTTTTTAAATTTTTTACTTTTGCAAGCATTCATATTTGAATTTTATACGCGATTTTCAATTCGATTGTTTCAACAGCGATATACGAACTGACATTATTCTCATCTTTTAGTGTCAATTTCCATCTGTTTGGTTATGCATGCACGACAATAGCAGTGTAATATACAATAAAAGTATATTCGAACTTTTATGAAAGATACCTTCGACAGGAGAAATTGTTGAGAGCGGCATGTTATTGCCTGGATATAGTGAGGTTTCTTTACTTTCTTCCTATGAAATACGTGATAATGTTGAAAAAGACGATACAGTGAATTCATTTATAACTCGCTGGTGTGTAAAGAGGCTACTTTCGCGTCTGTTTATAAAGCATATATCGTGAATATGTTATTTTTGGAGTACAGAGTGTGAATATTTGAATGAAAATTTATAGAATAATTTTGAAGAGGAAACTGACACTTAGCTGCTCCTTCTTGAAGTGTTAATTATTTCAGAGATCCTCATTCCTGCCTGAACAAATTTACTTTCCTTATCTTCAATAAAAATCATACATTCTCAAATTTTCATGAATTCGAGTATTATTTGGGTTCGAAAATGAAGCAAGTGGGTTAGAAGAGGATTTTGCTCCAGTTTAGACGGTTGTATACTTAGTCTTATTGTCACGTATATTAATCATTGATATGATATGGACATGGCCCGTTATACCAATTATCAGTATGCGGCAGATATACATATTTCTTTGGAATATTTTCACATTTTTTCTGTATAGAGAGGGAGACATAGAAAGCCAAAACCTCAGTTGAGCGAAAAGAAACTTTTCTTTAAAAGTCATTTTTTTTGTGAAGGACTCAATAATTGTCACATTTTTTTCTGGGTATATAACCTAATTTTATGATACGTAAATAAGAACTTAATATCAATGACACATATAATAATAATAATTTAAGGGATATCAAAAAGTGCAATGCAATAAGCGCACTGAGAATTATTATGTTATCTACTTTTGATGACATTCAAAATACTCTGCCTTTCAAATAAATGTTCGTTGAGTTTGATTTTGGATACCTTGATGACGCAAATACTAAGCATTTAAGATGAGTCAGAAAAAAAATGTTGATTCACGAGAAAATAATTTATTGAAGAGCTCAAAGCCCTAACAATATATGGACAATTTTTCTTGTGAGCCGTACAAATTACTGACTAATTGGACTCTTCAGTGGTTTATATTACGCAGTAACTTTTCGGGATGAAACAGTTCGCCCTTCATTACACTCCAGTAGATTCTCTATTGATTGAGCTTGATTGCGTTTATTTTCCAGATTGTCCATATAGTCATTTATACATTCATACGTTTAACCGTTGACTATTTTTTATATTTTTACGTAACATGGTTGAGCTTATTTGAATTTTTAAATTATAAGTAATTGATTTTATGTCATATATATATGACATAGGATCTTTCATATGAAGAAATTTCATTGGATCATCGCTTGTTAAGGTACAGCCCCTTGAAGGGGGTACATAAAATTTGTATAACAATTTTTTTCACAAGCACTAAAAAAGTTACAATTTTGAAATTAACCTGACGTTTTGTACTACCAAAAAGACACTTAGCCATAAATTTATTTGGTTCACCCCATGGTTGTAAGGGGTGAAAAACGCAACCTCTAAAATTTATTTCTAATGTAACTTTTTGTCTTATCATTTGTTTACCATTTGAAAATTCATTTCCGAAAGCCTATTTCATTCTTAACAAAAAATGTCTCCTGGGTTTTTTGCCCAAAATAAACCAGTTCGCAGCAAAACATTATTTTACGAACAACTACAGAGATACATCGTCATAAATGCGAAAATACGAAACTAATCTATCTAGTAGGTAGCTATTAGCGATAGTGATATTTAAANTTTGGATAAACTTTAAAAAAGCACCAAGAAATTTGAAATTGGAAATATTGATATGAATAATTATAAAAAAGTAAAACAATCATGTGGAATATTTCAAAATATGTTCGAATCGCTGGCCGTTCACTTCCAAGCACTTTAAAATGCGGGTGTTGACCAGAAACGTCTAATGTGCCATCCACCGTGAATCAGCCTGTATATGTGATTAAATTTCACAAAAAGGATTTGAAGCTTTATATCTTCTATTAATTATCTACGAGCGCTTTCGACAGCTGGTCGTACTGTCATCTTCTAGGCACTCCTCAGATTCACTCCTCAAACTCAAACTGAGTTTGAGGAGTGAGTTTGATATAGTGCCTATATAGTAAGAGAGGAGAAAAAAAAGAAAAAAAAAGGAATGAAAGAGGGGTAATTCATAAAGCTTACAGAATTACTTGAATTTTTGCATTCCATATGAGAGTTTAGTTGCACGATAGCTGTTTTTCACATAGCCAGTTACGAGTCTGTAGCCTGAAAAGTGAGTTTAATTTTTTTTAGTGTGTGTGATGAGTGTAGATAGAAAAACTGAACGATTTCTGAAACAGTGCTGTGTTGTGGTAGAGGGCAGTTATTGTATTTTTGTGTCGGATATTCACTTCATGTTCATTATCACGAAATCGAACTTTATCATAAAGATACTGTGGTGATTTGTTGATGATTGTATTGTAGAATGAAATTATAGATTGCAATAAGAAACGATTCTTCATTGACAGCTATTGTGACTGAGAAAGCTTATGGGAAATATGCTGGAACCTACGGATGCCATAAATGTAGCATGTAGCAGGAATTTTGGACTTTTTATATCCTACACAAATCTAGACTAGACTATCCAAGCAGGAAAATTATACAGTGAATAGTAGGTGAACTGTGAAAGGATGAGAGTCTGGCATAAATTGGTTTTTGTCTGAGTATTTAGGTATGCTCGGTGAGAATAAATCAATCATAAGTTCACGTGAACTCTCTGGATATATAATGAAACTTGCCTTTTGAATCTAAAATTATTATCTAACAATAATCCAAGATTTGTTGCCTCCGGTACTATATTTAGAATTATATAGAGTAGAATCATAAATCTATCGTGTATGAAACATGTGTTGTGGTTTTGTGAACTGTTCAGTGTAAATCCCACATTAAATTGTTATTTGCTTACGTCATTTATTTTTAGTGGGTATGAGCCAAGTCCATCACATATTTCAAAACAGGTATTACACAGCTCCCTTTCTGTATGATGTTTTGATAATAGTTATCACTATGAGAGAGCTGGCAATGAGAGATTGATATTTATTCAACAAATAGTATAATTTTGTGTTGTTTTCAATTATCATCAATCATTCGAATAGTTCATCCACGATTTTGTTTCTCATTGTATGGTATAACGTGAAATACTCCAACTATCGTACGTATAACTTTTTCAATTACACGTAAACCTTTCCCCAACACGAAAACTAATAAAAAGTTCATCCGAATTCGTGGGAAAATCACACCTCTCTCAATAGTTTCCAGTCGCTAGTCAAAAGCAATAAATTTAGTACTCACCGACAAATCCGCCGTGGCAAAATCTATGAAACAAAGTTCTGATTCTTCTCCAGCCAATAACACAGACACCGATTTCTCTCCGCTGTCATCATCTGTAACAAGATATATATTTCTGGAGAGAATTTAATCATTTTTGATGGTTTTTTCTGGTCCAGTCAAAATGAACATTCTAATTTACAATATATTGATACACTTATACAAATCTATATACTTATATGAATGAAATATAAAAATCCACATTGGTTCTATATGCGCTGAAAAATGTAACTCAGATAACCTGCCTGAAACTGAATCCTTATGAGTCATCCGTGAGCTTCTTTGCTAAGACAAAATATAGGCAGAGGGTTATAGACACTTTCAAAGAATTCACACGAGCGAAATCAATTGTGCTGTTTCGATTGTTGGTATCCACAATCATCTTCGGGTGATGACTGGAGTTTTCCTCCGAGAGATTATATATCGTTCGGGTGCTTTCACCTATGCCCTCTTTTCTCCCTCCGCTTCACCGATTTAGCGGGAGTTAACAGTTTTTCGCTTGACTACATGTTTCCTACTGTTGCATATCTTTTCGCTAGCTTGGCTGAATGCGTCATTGGAGATCATATATGCATATTCTTTGAACCTTCTCTTGAACCAGTGTTCCTCCATGTCGATAATCTGAGCTTGGGACCTTCTGAGGTTATGTTGATGAGTTCAAACATGCTCTACTATTCCTGATTCACTTGTTTCTTCTCGCTGTGTATTTCTCTTGTGCTCCGTAATGCGGGCTTTCAATGACCACACAGTTTTCCCGATATAGGATTTGCCGCATCTACAGGGTATCCGGTGAATGCAATTCTTGGAGTCGCAGTCCGCCTTTGGTTGTCTGATTTTCGTGAAGCTGCTACGGATGGTTTTTCTGGATCTGAAGCAGGTTTTAATGTTGTACCTGGACCCTATTCTTCCTATCCTTTCCAACAATCCCATGACGTAAGGAAGGGAAAACGAGGGTTGTGACCAAAGTCTGTTCCACCATCACTATGGCGTAACAATTCCGTTGAAGATATTTTCTGTTGCCTAATTTCTTCTTGAGACCTTGCTTTGTATAACAGAGGCCGAAATCACGATCCACTAGAGTCTTGATGATTCCTCTTCTGGTGGATTGATGGTGGTTGGATTCGTAATTCGTATACTGTCCCGTGTGACTGTGTTTTCGGTATACAGATGTTTTCCACTTACTGTTTTCCACTTACTGGCGGTCCTCTTCACCGATACCTCTAAGAATGGCACGTCGTTGTGGACTTCCTTCTTAATTGTGAAGGTGATGGTGATATGCTTCAGAAAGGTGTCTGGTCCTGTATTCCCATGGTTCCATACTATGAAGGTGTCGTCAACGTATCTCAACAAGATTCGGGGCTTTTTGTGGGCTTTTTCATTAGCCAGAGTTTTAAACCGCTCCATATATATGTTGGCTATACCTGTTGAAAGTGGCGATCCCATTGGCAGTCCCTCATCTTACACCTAGTAATACCATGATTACTCCTATAGGAGGGTTCGTTCTGTCTTCCAGATTATCTTCTTTGGATAATTTCTTCTGTACGAGTTGAAGTGCTTCTTCGATAGGAACGTTGGTGTGAAGGCTTTACATGTCGGAACTGATCAAGTGATATTGCTCTGTAACGTAGATTGTCCATAGTAATTTGACAAAATGCCTTGAATTCTCCACAAAAGATGAAGTTTTCCCTTGTAGTTCTGGACGAGTTTTAAGTAGCTGAATCTCCGGAACTAATGATCCATCTGAGCGAAACCCTCTTCTTGTGGCTTTTGGATAGACCGTACAAGTGGGAGGGCTAACTGTAGTGCAGCTATGATCTTTTTTTTTAATGAAAAATAGACTTGGTGTTTTTTCAAAATCTGGTATAAATGATGCAGTAGGGTCCCGTACAATCTTCGTTTATTGCTCCTTCTGAAGAACATCTTCGACCTTCCGTTCGTAGAGATCGGTCTCCATGACAACAGTAATGTTTCCCTTATCTGCAGGTAAAATCTTGATGGTGTTATTTCTCCGTAGGCCGTTCAGAGTTCTCCGTTCTTCATCTCTGATGCTGAATCTTTAAACTGGTTCTCTATCCAGCTGTTCTCTGATTTTCCATCTGAATTATTCTGCCTCTGTCTGCTCAATGAGATCCTACCTGTAGATAAGGGAGACGCTACTGTTGTGATGACAGGGAAATATATTGATAGTGTTCTAATTTCTATCTATTATACTAATGTGAAACGACCGATGATATATGTAGAACACGTGAGGGAGCAAAAATGAATAAATAAATGAATGAATAGATAATTGAATGAATTAACGGATTGGAAAATATATTGATAAGTTAGTTAATTAATATAACTGTAGTGCAGCTATGATCTATAGACTTGGTGTTTTTTCAAAATCTGGTATAAATGATGCATTAGTCCGTACAATCTTCGTTTATTGCTCCTTCTGAAGAACATCTTCGACCTTCTGTTAGTAGAGATCGGTCTCCATCACAACAGTAGTGTTTCCCTTATCTGCAGGTAGAATCTTGATAGTGTTATTTCTCCGTAGGTCGTTCAGAGTTCTCCGTTCTTCATCTCTGATGTTAGATCTTGAAACTGGTTCTCTATCCAGCTGTTCTCTGATTTTCCATCTGAATTATTCTGCCTCTGTCTGCTTAATGAGATCCTACCTGTAGATAAGGGAGACTGTTGTGATGGATACTGATAAGGAAATATATTGATAGTGTTCTAATTTCTATCTATTATACTAATGTGAAACGACCGATGATATATTTATGTAGAACACGTGAGGGAGCAAAAATGAATAAATAAATGAATGAATAGATAATTGAATGAATTAACGGATTGGAGAATTTAACTACTATTTCTGTTCGACACCACCATCAACAAGAAAAATTATAAAATGAATATTTTTGGTCTATAATGGCCAATGGTGTGCTTATGAATTTTTAGCAGACACGGGATCCTTGGCAAATTTTAATATTTCATACATAACAGTATAATTTGAAACATATACCAATTCTCAGCTATTTGAGAAATACAATAGGCTTTTTTTTATCGCTTATTTTGACTGCACTATTCATAATTTCACAAGAAGGTTTCGACAATTGAAGTCCCAGTCTATCTCGTAAATTGTTGGAAATGAAAATTGTTATTGAGGAATTGAGAAGACACTGTCAAAAATTTAACGTCGATATGAGAAAAATATAAGAAAAGATAAATGGAATAATGGAAATTGGAAGAATCGCACGTGCGGCATATCGGTCTGAAAGAGCATCGACGGAATTGATATCCATAAAAATGAATTGACAAGAAGCCATTTTGGGGATACGATATACTCGAATGGGTAACGTTATGATTCGATGGAGCAAAAAAAGGTTTTTTTTAGTTACGGTAGGAACATCAATAATCATTCATCTGTCGTCTCTAGTATAGCTGGATCAAAACCTTGAAATCGAATCGTTATTTGAATTTACTTTGAGAAATAGTAACTCTGAGGTGATCTGGAACACGCTTAGAAATATAGACATCGTGAAGACAATATCAAATTAAACCCTCCCACCATCATTATTTGAATTGAATAAAATTAATTCAAATTTTGTTAATATAAACCATACCGTAAAAGCAGATATTCATAAATCTTTTCTAGAAAAATACGACCAAATTCCCAATAAGACACTTTTAACTTTGACAAAAATAAATCCCTTTCAAGCGCAGCAATATCTGAATCGTATAAAAAGTAACTGTGCTGGATCGGATGGTATAACTTCAATTATGCTAAGACATGTTGAAAGCTAACTCATCATCCACATAACACATATATTCAATACCGCAATTGAAAAAAAAACAGCTTTCCCACTTCATGGAAAGAAGCTATTGTTTTACCGTTACCGAAGTGTGATAATCCAACAGAACTATCACACCTGAGGCCTATCAGTAAACTGCCTGTTCTTTCTAAAGCATTCGAGTTGATCCTCAAAGATCAGATCGATTCATATGTGTATAGTAATAACATCATCGCTGCTGTCCAGTCAGGTTTCCGGGAATCCCACAGCACTACAACTGCTCTCGCCAACATAACGCAGGATTTATTCAATTCAATTGATAAAAATGAATTGACTCTAATGGTACTGCTTGATTACAGTAAGGCATTTGATACAATGGACCATACACTTTTCTGTAAGAAGCTTTCGTATTTTGGATTTGATAAAAACAGTGT